ACAAAAATTAGTTAAAGCTCAGAAACTCTACTCTACTGAAAATCAAATCTCTCCAGCAAAGAACGCGTAGGCTTATAAAGAAAAAAATAACCTTAAATGATAGATTACAAGAGATCCTAAACAACGAAAATTTAGGAAACGAGACAATACTTATTTTGGACGCTGTAACATCATCATATCTTATGTTTATTTTCTAAGAACGTATAATATAGTAAGTAGAATAAAGTATATACGCGTGAATGCTATAGCTCAAATGCCTTATAAACTTCATCTGAATTCTTTTAATTTGTTGTTTATGCGTAATATAGTAGGGAGAACAAATATTACTAGTGTAATAAACACCTTTGATGCAGTTTATGTCCGAAAAAGGTTTGCAAGTACGTAGATCAAACCTTTGATTTTTAAGCTTATTGTACTATTGTATTTATATGTTTTGTCACAGCCAGCTTCATGTCACGGGTACCAATTAGTATTTTATTTATTTGTGTCATCTTTTTGACACACCTTATAATGAGGGATATAAAATGCCGACTTATTGTCTTATGACATTCTCTACCAGTTAACTCTGGACGATTTGAGAAACAGTGGCAGGTATAAAGGTTTTACTAAATTAAATGAGTAATATAGATATAAGATACAATAAACAATTTAAAAGTTATTTTAATACAGTTAAAGTGGTTTTATTTTCTTTGTAAATCGCAAATAAATATTTTGTTTGAATTTTTCTTTGTGTTATTTTGCTCATACCTAATTAATGTAAAGCTGATGAAAAAGCGTTACCAAATTTGGCAAACCGAATTTTTGTTAGTCTTACTTTATGATATATTTTACACTGACCTCTATATTTACAAGTATGCTGGACCGGCTATAAACCGTAATATGGTGAGGCAATTGATTTGCGCCATTTTGGCGCTGACAGCAGAAGTGCACGTCCACGGAACTAATAATAGGGATAAGACGGTGTGACAAAATATATCGATAAAAATTCTATACCCTACCTGTACATAAATAAATAGAATGGACTCTAAGGATAGATGGACTCTACCCATAACGTTCATTCTATATATGTATCATATTAATATAATGCCAATATAATTCATCATCATTAAAACCCTTCACAAGTCCGCTGCCAAACATAGGCCTCCCACAAGGAATGCTACAAAGCACCGTCCTGAGCCACCTGCATCCAACAACTTCTTGTATGTCTTATCAGGTTTTTACTCCATCTAGTAGGGGAACTTCCGACACTTTACCTGCCGGTACGAGGCTGCCACTCGAGAACCTTTTTTCCCCATCCGTCATCGTTTCTTCGAGCTATGTGGCCGGTCAATTGCCACTTCAGCTTACTAATCCGTTAGGCGATGTCGGTCACTCTGGTTCTATTGCCGATATCCTCATTCCTAAGTTTATCCTCTTAGCTTTCCAGCTTCGGCAGTGCCACGTATTCTAGGGTTGCTTGACATATCGTAATCCATGGGTTCTTGATCGAACACTTAATTGTTTTTGTCGGTGGATGTTGCGCAAGAGGAAGCTGTCAAAAACCGTGATTGTAAACGATGGCCAGAATTTGTAAATAAGAAATAAACTAAAGTAGGGCCACTACGAGGTTAAAGCACAAATTAAATCTTGAGACTCGAGAGAGAATTGAATCTCAAAACTCGCACTTACTAAAACCCCATGGTGTTCTACCTCTGACTTCCCAAGCCCGATATGTGAATGGAGCCACGAAAAAACGAGCACTTGGAAGCATCAATTGTGTAGTCTCACCAAAGTTGCGAATGATAGTCGAGTGGCATCGCACCGCCAATCGCCATACCAACACTCCTCTTCCCTGACGACTCCACCTCGACTACAGCGGTACAGGGAGAGGAATCTCCTCTAGCCGCAGCCCACTAACACTCATCCAACGTGGCTCAACATCATTAGGCGACCTTTTGACACTTGGCTACGACCCTTGAATTTGTGGAAAAATGAGGAAAGAAGAAATAAAAAAAAGATTCGAAATAATAATCTAATTTTAACTTTTATACTTACTGGTACTGGTACTACCAGAAAATATTGTCGAAATACTGCACTTTTTCAAAGTGGTGCAGTTCTCATGTCTTATAAAACAGTCGTCTGTGAAATGTTCAGAACATGTATGATCGTTTTGTTTTGGACGCCAATTCACAATATTTATGATTTTAAACCATAATTTTGGTCTAGATTCAGTTGGAAACCTGTTAATTAATAAACATTTGATAATCATTTGTTATTGGCGACTTTGTTTGTTAACAGATATGGGTAGGAAAGAAAATCGATAAGTATTATAGACAAGGAACTCGCCAACCCTATTGAATTTTATTGTTTATCAAAACTCAGTAATATACAGGCAAACATGTTGGTATATTGATATTAAGATTAGTAAAAGTTAAGTATCATCAAATAGTTTCAATTTGTTTAATATTAACCGCAAATTCACTTACTTGTGAAATGTTATACCACTTCCCTTTTAGTAACGAATTTTACAGATTACGCACACTCTCATTATTATTAAAAATAATTCTTATTATGTAACTAATATTATACACAATCAAACAAGATAAAATACTTTCGTTTTTTAGTTTAAAAGTTCAAAATACAGATTATTGAAATAGGACAACTTAAATACGACAACAGACTGGCATATTATGTCAATATTAGTTTCCAAGACGACCATTAGGGGTGCTTCAAATTGGCGCAGACATTTTGTATGGTATAGTCAGTCCAACGTACGTGTATATATAGAGCTCAGTGTATATTTTAACTTTATAACACGATCGACCTGAATTATAAAATTCACCAAAACCTAAACAAAATTTGGCAAAATTGATTCCAAATCGAACGTTTTTAAGTTCCATTGTTGAACGCTTCGTCCGTAGCAGATCTTCCTTTAGTTGGTAACCTAAATTATCATTTATTGAAAACTTAAAGCAATTTCATTAAAATGCTGAATTTTATTGAACCATAGATAAAACGAGTGTATCGATAAGGCTGTTCTTTTCTATAGCTACACCATCACTAGAATTGTCTATGGTATATAAAAAAGCTAAAAAACATGTACAACCTTGTAAAGGGGAAATGGTGACATTCATATGACTATCTTTTTTATCCTTTAGGAAATGTCATATGCATAAAGAGTTCGGTTAGATGTGGTTTTGTTCCGTTTTAAGACTCTCTCTATGCTAGTAATTACTCTGAGGTAATTCCCCTTGTCATTTATATCGCCTATTTTTTACTTGACACCTGAAACCACCATCGTGTTTGTTGAACAAGACAAGTATGATTGTCGTATGCACAGAGTATACAACATTGAGCCTCATGGGCTCCAGCGTATTTCAGATATTCGAACTTAGGTCATCATGGCCAAGAGACTTTCCTCAAGGCAATGACTTAAAGATTTTGTTGTGGAACTCACTACCGTCTAATATAAGACATTTCGACACTTTATAGGTATTTAAGAAACGTCTTAGAGAACATCTTTGCATCCTGTTAATTAATATAATATTATTTTATTATATTAGTATTAGTTTATATACATCATATGTAACTATCGTACTTTTAATTTTTATTTATAGTATTATATATTTTGTATATTGTTTATTCATTAATAGTAGTAATGTATGCACTAAGTTTGCCATTTTAATATATTTTCCTTTATGGGTCTACTGGAAGATAATTCAGCAAATTATGGAATAAATAGAACCTTTGTACGGAACTTACTATAAGATTGTTTTTGTATCTTGTGTGTGTACATATATAAATAAAAATAAAGATTTCTCTGACGTTCATCCTCAAACTCGGTAGCCCCAGCGGCGCCAGTCAAAGTGGCGACTTTAATGTAATATGTATATGATCTTCAGGTATATTCGCTTTTTATTTTTGATCATTAACACTACTGACACTTACATGAACGCAAGATTAATGAATTTTTAGAGATTTCTTTAAATAATGCTGAGAAACGTAATGAATTAAATTTTATTGTGTAATAGAATTCAGAAATGACATTTTTATCTGTCCTGTACACTATACAACTATCTCGGAACAACAAGTTTACGCGTTTACCGTTTAAAAGAACCCCTTCGTCGTATCTCCTCAGTTTCAAGGCACTCCCCTTGTTGCCTTTGTCAGTATTGGAATCCTCGGCGCCGATGTATCGAGTGACGTGCAGTTACGTGGTCGTGGTTTCGTGGCCTCTAAAAAGCTTGAAGTACTCAGCAGAGCGGGACAGTATTTCATGCCGGTCCACCACCTACAACTTTACAAGGCGCAGGTTCGGCCACACATGGAATACCGTTCTCATCTCTGGGCTGAGGCTCCCCAAAGCCAGCTACTTCCATTTGATCGCATCCAGCGCAGAGCAGTTCGAATCATCGGCGACCAAGCTCTTTCCAATCGGTTGGACTCACTAGCACTGCGACGAGATGTTACATCTCTTTGCGTATTTTATCGCATCTACTACGGGGAGTGCTCTGAGAAATATTTTAGAATAATTTCAGCCGCACAATTTCTCTATCGCAAATCGCGACAAAACTCGCGATACCATCCATACCATCTGGATGACTGGCAGTCCACCACTGAGCGATGTAAAAAAAGTTTTCTTCCTCGCACAACTTCCTTTTGAACTTTCAACTACCACCACACCATTCAAGAAAAGGGCCTATTGCTTTTTAAAAGGCCGGCAACGCGTCTACAAAAATACAAAATCTGGTGTTGCAGTTGTTCATGGGCGGCGGTAATCACTTGCCATCGGGTGAGCCGTATGCTCATTTCCCCCCTCTCCTATAAAAAAACTATACATGAATAATATCTTTGACAGAGTCAGATTATGACTTAAAAGACAAGCATCCAAGCCAAAAAATTGAATAAAAAGGGAAGTGTCATTTAGCTTGCTACATATTTATTTATCTATGGTGTCATTCGGATTTGATTCGCGGGCAATCTTAAAATATTGAAAATTTCGGTTTTCTTTCGTTTCAAAAATGGACATTAGTAAATTATTAAAAAGTGTTAATAATTTAAATGAATATATATCGGCTTCACAAGATGTAGAAACCAATTACAAATATACTAAAATTCAATTAAATATGTCGACAGTTCTCGCCCTAAGAAAAGCAGGCTCACTCGAAATTGAGGTAATTATGAAGGATATCTTTTATATATAATATGTACGCAGTAGTTAAATAAGACTATGATAATATTATTAATTGTTATTTTTATCAATATAAATATTTTGCAGTACTTCAACAAATGTGAGGAAAATGGCGCTGCTGTTAAAATATTCGGACAATTATTACTTTTACCACCATCTAAAACATGGAGTCTTCTAGGACGAGAGCTGATTTCACTTTTAAAATACTGGCTTGATGCTTTGCGCAAGCACATTATTTTTCACAACAATCATTGGTGGCTGTTTTTGCAAAAACTATTGCAGTTCATAAAGGTGATTTTCTGTTAATACATTAAATTTCTAAATTATTAGAATCCTAATTCTAAGATTAAAATAGGTATTAAAATACAATATTTTGTTTACTTTTATTATTCAAAAGTATAAACTATATTTTTCTAAGTTATTCCATTATATTTAAATGTAATAAATGCATCTAAAATAGGTAAATTTAGTATAATTGTTTCATTCAGTCATTTATTACAGTCAATCTCAAGTTTATTGCTGTAATTAAGCCTCCCCCATAAATTACCTAATAAAGTTGTAGGGGTGATATTTGCCATAGTCATCACATCACACCTGAGGACTAAGATGGAATGCCTCATTATAAGGAAAAAGATTCTCCTGTTCTCTACACTCACCATATGAAAGTATTAAGCTGCTACTTATGTTGGTATAGTGAAAACGTGTTCTTACCCCAGACGAACCGACCCATTCGTGCTATAACCATAATATAGCTGCAGTGTGGCTCTACCACATATATTTTAATAATTTTCATTTTATTCTTGCAGGAAATAAGGTTGAAAGATAATAATAAAATAAATAATATACTAGTGGAGGAAACAGCTGAATGCTTATTGGATCTAGCTACACATGAACGATCTAATATCTATCAGAGCCATAAAGTGCTCTGTTTGTTCAATTTATGTGGTGCTGAGTCTAGCAGAGAAATCAGATTTGCCCTAAGGAAACACTTTGAGTGTTACTTGTAAGATACATATATTAATGTTATCTCTAAAATTCTTATAATTTATTTTTAAGAATTTTATAGTAGTTGTCTTGGAGATAACATTTTTCTTTACTTCTGTTTTGTGTTCGAAGAAAAAATTAATACTGAATACTTTTTGTATCACTTTAGTATTAAACTGTCCACCAGACAAAGATTACTGTTCCTCTAAAATTTACTTACATAATGTCCTTCCTTCAGACCGAATTTCGGTCATGGTGGCGAGTCTCACATGCAGGTATCCTCAAAATGGCAATCCTTGAGGGTATTAGCAGCAGTGGAGGTTGTTCAAGGCTGTAATGGTAATACGATGAAAGAAAATTAAGTAGTTTTATTTACATTTTGTTGACTTGTCAATAACGTTACGAAACAAACGGTTCCTCGTTAAATGTTGCCTTTTCATTGATTAAGGCTAATAAGCGAGAGTAGGGCGCACTATGTCCGCCAAGCTCATGTTTTGTTATCGCATCTGCAGCGATAAATTGTATAATATTACTCTTTTCCTTAAAAATTGTGATAATTTTTCACCTTAGTTTCTTAGAAAATTTTCAATAATTGTTATACTTCAATATTAGCATCAAGCTGTCAGCACGAATGGCTTCCTGCGGAGATGTAACGTACCAGTATAGCATTCTAGAAGCCCTGTTGCGCTGGTTGGTTCCGCGTCAGGACCCTACAGTGAGGATGGAAGCGGCCGCCAAGTGGTTTCCAGATCACTTGTATAGTAGATATGCTGTGGATTTATTTTTGGAGAGATCATGGAAGAATTTCTTTCAGGTGAAAACACAAGATTAGAGAAATAAATAGTTTCAATGTTTTTTTTTTTGATACAAAGTTAAAGATCAAAGTGACAGATAATAAAATAATTTACGCTTAATGTTATCTGGACTAGGAACTGCGTTCTACTACGTACTTAATATCGCATTCCTGCTGGTTCTAGCTACACTGATGGGTCGGTATCACCGCACAGTAAATTTGGAGTGTCTACTAAACTAATTATTATTTTTTTTTGGCCCATAAAAGTCAACAGCTGAATGTTGACCCTCAGATTATCGGAAGATTTTAGATTGTAGCGCCTTTGAGCACGTCGGTTGCCTGTCGCAGTCTCAGTACTTATGTTTGGGATATCTAACGGAAGCCTAACATTTGACCGGCAGCACTGATTATTGGGAAGTAATCGCCTCTTACGATACCCACAGGACGAAATGGGGTTATAGATTCTATGATGCCACCACTAGACGGTAAAGTACTTAGTAGGAATTCTGGACTGCCCCCGAGAGACATAGGTATGTATAGTCATCGCTTATGTACGGTCGCATTTGTGCCGCACCACCTTGGCACGTGCCGCATATTGTCAAAAGCGCCGCAGCGACATCAAAGGTCGCTGTGTGTGGCGTACACCTGCAGGAAAATATGGCATTTTAAAACGAAGCGCTGTAGGAAAAGTTTCTTTGCTACCTAACTTGTGTTCGTTATTTATATTCGTATTTATTACAATAATCATTTTATTCTTAGAATAGAAAAAATATTTATTCAACAAACACAATAAAAATAATATAATAAAAATAAATTAGTAAGCGCCCCTCCGACACTATCTTAGTGATATTACTACTATGATGTTACGAAATGATGTTACCAAAAAATTAAAACTTAATAAATACGGTATATCATGAATATAAAGATCTTCTTATTACTTAAAATACATGTTTTTATTGTAACTTGCTTATAATTCAGCAATTTTTTTGTAAATCTAACAACGCTGTCATCAGCGACGGTACCTTTCAATGAGTGAACGGATGTCGGTATTTCTTTCTCAACGGCCACCACCACCACACCGGCTATTAAGTTTCCCGATTTAATTATATTTAATTTTGTTTTTGCGGGATAATTTTTATATACTCTCTGAAAATGAATAAATGTGCGGAGTTTTAACACTTTCACTGTTCGGCTTCCAAACATAATACACTAGTCAAAAATTAGGGGCTATAAAAAAATCTAAATTTTGAGTGATTTTCAACAAGCTGTAACTCCAAGGAAAATGATGGTACAGCAAAAAACGAAAAGCGAATTGTAGTTTCAAGTGTTTAGTTTTCAGATCTGGCCATGAATTTTTTTTGTCATGTTTGGTTCTGGAGTGATCGATCCTAAAAAAACTACCGAAATATTTTTTTTATTACTTTACTAGAAAGCTCTTTCAGGAAATTTAATGACCTTTATTTTGACGTACGAGTAATCAAAAAGCTACACTGTCAAAAATTAAGGGCTATAAAAAAAATCAAAATTTTGAGTGATTTTCAACAAGCTGTAACTCCAAGGAAAATGATGGTACAGCAAAAAACAAAAAGCGAATTGTGGGCGAAAGCTCTTTCAGGAAATTTAATGACCTTTATTTTGACGTAATCAAAAAGCCTATACGATGATTTGGCGCGGAGCTATCGTCAATCAAAGCAAAAAGTTGTTTTTAACTTTGATAAAAGGTTATAAAGTAAAAAATATCGTTTGTCCTTTTCCATGATAAAATTCTAATATATGCCAAATTTGATTTAAAATTTTATTTAGCTATTTGAACGTGACTGAACGTCGAAACAGTACCGTGTAGTGGCGGTGCACGAATATCACTACCCCATATCATCCCGTAGGTGTCATAAGGGCAACAAAGGGAAACAAATCAGAAAAAGGGCAGCAGCGTCTTCTTAATAACGACTAAAACTAAAAACTTGGCAACTATGGCAAATAAGGGGGATAAATAGGGGAATCCCCTATGGGACAATTTATGGCGGAAGCCTAATTTTAGCATCATCATCATGATCTTAAATAATAAATTATTTTCCCCAGGATGCAAGAGACTTTCTTAACGCTCATAACGCGTTACGTGATCTTATTACCTCGGTTATCTGTAAGAAACTAATCATTGGGAGCACGGTTATAACATCAGTAAGTTTCTTCGAAATACACATCTCTAAAGGATTAGATCAGGGGTTCCCAAAGTGTGCCGGCGTACTCCTCCGCTCCTGTTTACCATTCTTCGGAAACTAGACTTATATATTCGCGGGCACAAAATAAACCAGATTTTCAGCTGTAGCTATAATAAAGAGCAAATATATCTCTAAGATCAATTTGGAGCAAGAAATGAGAGTAGCGGTGTCAAGCAATTTATCCCATGCGTTCGAAAAATGCGTGAAGATCACCCAGCTCATACGTCATATTGACGAAGTTGTCTTTGTATTTTATTTCCTACCAGCGATCCGCACCGGCTTCGCACGGGTGATTTCCAGCGCCACTAACCGGGTCCAAATGTGAATATAAACCATCTAGGGCAGGTCCTTATATGGTTCAAACATACAAAAATTTCATCAAAATCGGTTGAATGGTTTCATAGGCTATAATGGACATAACATTTTTTTGGGTTTTATAATGGAATTTTAAATTTTATATAGATGGAATTTAATGCGCCCTAAACTGAAAAAGTTTGGGAACCTCTGGATTAAATCAGTGTGAAACTTCTATCGATTTATTTTTATGTTAATCTGTGCTTTTATATTTATCTCTTTTAGCCATAGAATTTTTTTTCTACTAATTTAGGTCAATACGTTTACTGCTTTTATAAAGTTTAGGTGAAGCGAATTGATAATCCACCTGATGGTAGGTGGGTGCTGTAGCCTACAGACATCAACATCTATCCTTGATTAAGTATTAAAATGCAGATGCGCCTGCCAGTACGCGATTTGTCACTGCCACTCGAGAACCTTTCTTCCCTTTATTTTATTTTTAAAGAATGTTATGGGTGATAAACGAGCCCACATTCCACCTGATGTTAAGACACTATGTCACCCGTGAGGACTAAGATCAAATGCACCGTTTCCAGTAAAATTGGTCTCGGATTCTCTACACTCATCATACGAGACACAGCAGCATAACAACAGCAATTTTACGCTGCTATTATGTGAGAGAGTGGTGCTCTCCCGGTCGAGCCGACCTACTCGTGCTACAGTCATATATAGCTTCATGTACACCTGTGCTTGTGCAGGCACTCGTGCACTATATTCCTGTTCTGCTCAGATGGCTCGTCTCCGTTGAGAGTGATCGCCGTGGCCGAAACCTAATCTAGACAGCAATGTAGTGCTTACTCCTTTCTAAAAAACCGACAACGCATCTGCAATTCCCCTGGTGTTGCAGTTGTTCATGGGCGTTGTCACTTACCATCAGGTGAGCCCTATGCTCGTTTGCCCCTCTTATATATAAAAAACGACGTTTTTATAGGATAAGGTGACAAATGAGCACACAGTCCACCTGATGGTAAGCGGTTGCTGTGGCCCATAGACATCTACATATATCCTTGGTTACGAATCAAAATGCAAATGCGTTATCACCCGTGAGGACTAAGATGGAATTCCATATTTCCAGTAAAAATTGTATCAGGTTCATCATAATAAACATAACAGCATTAAACTGGTATTCTGTGAGAGCGTGGTCCTTCCCCGGTCGAGACGATCCATTCGTGCTGCAACTATACCACTAATATAACTGCAGCATGGCTCTACCACGTATAATCCTGTCTTAAGTCTTGTACAAGACTGCCATATTATTATCACATTTCGTTCTGATTGGCTTGACTCATTGGCGCTAAGAAGAGAGAAAGTTGTAACTCTTTGCATATTATATCGCATCTACCAAGGGAAGTGTTCAGAGGAAATGTTGAGACTAATTCCGGCCGCTAAATTTCACCATCGCACATCGCAACGAAACTCGCGATACCATTTTTAATGATTGGCGGTCCAGCTCTGCGCGATTTACCAGAAGTTTTTTTTACAAGGTTCCTTGTACAGACTACCACCAGTGACATTCCGGACCGATACGACTTAGGGATCTTTAAGAAAAAAAAGCCTACTCTTTTTTTAAAAAGCTGGTAACGCTACTACAATTCCCCTGGTGTTGCGGTTGTTCATAGGCTGCGATAGTCACCATTGAGTGAGCATGCTGGTTTGCCCCCACGTATATAGCTGTATAAAAACACTTATTCTTCATAACATTACCTTTTTAGCATCCCCACATCACCATTCAGCATAAATACTATCTGAGGTGTTAAAGGAGATTATCAAAGCTATTGTGCAGTCCTTTAGTATTGAGACCTTTACTTATCCATTTTTAAGAGTAGGGTGATAAACATGCACACAGATCATTTTATTGTAGGTGAATGCTGTGGCCAAGCAACATCTATGTGGTAGAGCCACGCTGCAGCCATATTATGGTTGTAGCACGAATGGGTCGGCCAAACCGGGAAAGAACCACGCTCTCACAGAATACCAGCGTGTAATAGCATATGAGTGCTGCTGTGTTTCGTAAGGTGATTGTAGAGAACCGGAGACCTTTTTTAGAAACGAGAAATTCTATTTTAGTCCTCAGGGTACGTAGTCCTCGACGTATCTGCATTTTGATTTTTAATTGAGAATAAATATAGATGTCTATGGGCACCATCAGCTGGATTGTGTGCTCGTTTGTCATTCTGATTCTATATTTTACAACAACGTGTATAAAGTGTATGTCGATTAAGAATCACAGTCGCATCTATTCTCTCCTCTGGGTACTAAGATGGAATGCCTCGTTATTGGTGTCGACTATTTGGCTGGCGGTTGCTCACCTGAGGATAGTTACCAATCTACGCACCTTTTGCTTTATTTGTTGAGAAGTTGCGTCCAGCAATTAGGTGTAAAATAACACCAAGAAAATGTTTATTACTTTAGAGTTTAGGGAGAAGAGATAACTGGTTGGACATTAATTCCGAGACTAAATGCATATCAATGATATTGGATTCGAAGTTGCTCGAAATGCTGGGCAGCGGTTTCAACCCCACTTTCTGTGAAACCCTTGTATTAACCGAAGATAATACACGTGAAGTCAAATTGTGCAGGTAAGGTATAAATAAATATAGTAGATAACTGGCCTGGGAGACGTACTGATTCTGTCTTTAGCTGAAGGAGAACAATGAATTTCATTTCCAAATTGGAATTCCATTTGGAAATGCCAGTAGACTAGAATTTTTCCAGTATAAATATATAATTTATTATAATCATTCATCAATTTTAACAGTGTACCCTAAACCTTCTATCAACTTTCAACATCACCTTTCGTGTCAGTGACTTTTTTGTTTGGCACAAAACCAACGTATATTTTATATATCAGGCGTTTGGTCGATATAGTAAAGTTACAACCTTTAAACGTGCCACTGCTGGGCACAGGCCTCCTCTCACGTCAGACAGGTTTTTAGAACAAGGAAGTCCGCGGCGCTGCCCAATGCGTGTTGGAGTATGTCACATGTCTTTCAATTTTTTTTATTTCTCTGACATGCAGGTTCCTCGCGATGTTATCATTCACCGCTGAGCACGTGCTAAATCAGCACTTAAAATTGCAATTAACATTTCATTGGTGCCGGCGGGGATCGAACCTGGGTTGCTCGCTTACTGTGAAATTTACAGTTAGCGCTTAGCCCCTGAGCTACCACGGTACCTATGTAAGTTTTAAAATAAAATATTAAGTTATTGAATATTAAGTTAGTGGATTTGATCGACTCATCGTTTCACATGTCTTTTAACGTGTAAATTGATTAATTATTGATTTGGGCATATACAATATGCATACGAACATAATGTTAATAAAAAGCGATGCCTTTGTTTGTAGTTTACAAAATTCACGTCTACCTTAATTAGCTTTTAGAATCCACGAGGTCTATTCGATTAGTTACAATTCCAGGGAGCTGATGGATATTTTTATCACGGTGACGACTTCAGAACCACCACAACTCATACCATCTTCGACTAGTATTACGGGCAAAGGCAGTATGGATGTGAAGATTGTAATAAGTTCCAATAGTGACATGATGAGGGTCGACAAGGCATTGCGTGGGATTTTTGCTGATAAATATCAGGTAAAATTACATTTTAAATAAAAGTAGTAATAACTGCTTCAAACCGACGTTATTTTCGCTTTTTCTTTTCTGCCTGACACTAGAACCACAGATTAACTCACAATGTTTGTTTAACATTGCCATGGCATTTACTACACTTCTTTCTATGTTTTCTTGTTTCTTATAAATTAACTGTGTAGTGGCGGCAAGGCCGTAGCCAGAGCCCCCTCCCCACCTGGGGGAAATTTTCAATTCAATCAAGGGGAATTCATCCCCACCCCCGAAATAAAAAATTACAATTTACAACATAATAGTTAATCACTAAAAACAAAATTCTCTACCTACTGTTATTTTTATTGTGTATGACTTTATGCTCGCTTGGTATTCGCACGACGATATTTAAATAGCGGCGCAGCGACATCTAATAGGGAGCGGCGAAACTACGTGCAACGCCAACTACACAAACAACGCAACTTCGGGGACGTGCTCAAACTACATTTAGGGAATATTCAATAAGCCTTAGAGTAAATACATACATACGTATGCATAGAGAGAACCTACAGTTCAACATAAATTGAGTCAATATACTTGTTTGCCTTTTCTTATTTAATTTTCGAATAAGGCAAAAATAGATATATCTACGGAAAGATGCTGCGTATAATTTAAGAGGATTGTGAAGTGCCAATACGCGACGCGAGTAAAAAAATGCTATCTGTTTCATAACGCTTTGCCTCCCTCCGGGCGTGACAAACACAAATATTATAACATAAAGTATAAACAAATTCTCAAGCACACAGCACACTACGAGCAGTAAGCGACGCTCGGGCGCACGGATTTGCTCCGTGCTCGGGCGTATTCTGTGAATCGCTCGAACGTCGGCTATCTGCGGTTTGCACATATTATGAGCAGATATATTATATTTACGAGAGAAATCGGCGGTTTCGAATCCGTGGTTCGAATCTGAATCACTTCGGCCCGTCTTTTTTTTCAACTTTCCTTCTTTTGTGATAAAATCTTTTATTTCGAGCCCTTTTTTAGTATTTTTTTTAAAAACACGAAAAATTAAAAACTAATTGAACTCATGATTTTTATTTAAATAACCAGTTCAGTTTTTTTTATTTGTTGGTAAGATCGAAAAATATTATTCATATTACATCAGTATGTAATTTGTATCTAAATATAATTTCCAAAAAACACGATTTTAAAAAAAAACCGAGCAAAGTTGGGTCATCCAGGTTCAATTTGTTTGTGTATCTTTGCTATTTTATTATGCTTATTGTATAGTGTGTGTAGACTTTTAGTAGGTACTAACTACATATACTTATAGAAGTGAGCTGTTATTTTTATATGTAAGTATCTACCTATCTAAATCTTATAAAGGCAAATGCTAGCTTTTACGATGAGTATTATATTCATTCAAATAAAAAAGACGTGTGGCACTCGGGGACTGCCGCGGTAAAGCTATTGCATAGCATTTTGTATCAACTTATGCAATTATAATTATTTATTTATTTTATTTATGCAGTATTTCTTTTTCTTTGATATTAATTCAAGTTACTTAGGTTAATCCAATCAAATTCAACCAGATTTAACCGAACCCGCGAAACTATTTGTGAAAAATACTGTATCACCGGACCGCGTCGCAAAAAACTCAGGTTCGCGCAGTACATATGTCAGGGCGGCCGTACGGCAATTATATTAACAAGACGCGCAACTACTCAGTTCCACGCTCCACGGCAAGATTTGTCACTTATTATTTATTGTCCAATTAATTGTCTTTAAGTTCAAATGGCACGCTCTATTAACATAAGTCTAAGGACAAAACAAGGAGACTTTCAATATATGAACAACCAGGCTTCGCGTTTGTGTTAGTAAAATAAGCTCTTATTAAGTTAGCTTAGAGTTTAAATTAGTGTAAGCTATACGCAATCCTTGTGGCATAATGAATGTAGGTAGTATTTTATTGACTCCCATTGTCTCGGCCGACGCGACGGTTGGACCGTAAACGTAAACAGATGACGCTTTCTAACGATAATGAATATAATATTATAACAGTCAATGGTTCATTATTCTAATGTGTTGTAAGATTAAAAATATATAATGAAATATATTATCTGTTGTATGTTATAACGCCCAACTTTAGGGGTGACCGACCGCGCGCACAAATGCAGCTAGCCTCCCCCTCCCGCACCTCACTAATCGTCGCTTCACACCGCTTGAGATAAGACGATCTACTATCAGGCGCTAACAAACCCCCGTCCCGGACATAAGGACCTATGTCCGCGAGTAAATTGGCAATTAGAAGACGCTTTGTATTGTTGGTTTTTACAAAAACGATCAACTGGGCAAATGATATCTGGCCCTTTGCTTTGTGAAAAAGCATTACAGTTAAATAAAAAATTAGGTGACGGCGGCTCGTTTGTCGCAAGTAACGGATGGTTATATAGATTTATATCTCTCCATGGAATTTAATCAATGTTTATTAAAAAATAATAATTTCTTAATAAACATTGATTTTCGTCGAAATTGTTGTTTTTAATAAACACATAACATTATGTATGTACATATGTACTACAAATGCACAAAACCCGCTTTTCTTCATACATTCGATCATCAGGATTTTCGATTATCCGAATCCCTAACGGCAACAATTAGTCCGTTTAATCGAGTATATATATACATATTGAGAATCTAAATTGAGAATTTAAACTATATGCGTGTGTGTGTTTGTGTGTATATAAAGAGGGCTACTTTTAATATCGCTCATTTTAATATCAAAAATTTAGGTTATCTTTATAGCAGTATTATATTTTCAATTCAAAATTAGTACTGCATTTGTGATAATAATAAAATGTAGGTATGTATATAGAGTACTCACTCATTTTCTTTCACTGTTTTTTCGTGACTTTCTTCATTAATAATAAATGCACTTTGTTCATTCATAATCATATTCAAAATTTCAAAACACTTTATACACAAACACCGTGTCGAAGACTGAGGAAAAGAAACGACGTTAGACCATCGTTAGACAATGCACGGCCTTCAAGCCACACCTCCGTGCCCGTCGGAGAGCGTGAGGTTTTTTTCGTTACGAAATTTCTGGATTTTCCCGCACTCAATACCCGCGATAGAAGCTATGCAATAGCTTAAAATTAATTTATACCTTTTAGAATGGAAGATAAAGATTATAGACCAGGAAAAAAAAGTCGACCGTGTTATTGACAAAACGAAAAAAAATTCAACTTTCTTCGTAAATCGAAAGGATGGGTAACGCCAATTTCTAAAATCAACGTATACCACATTTTAACATACTATTGCACATAGGTGTCATACGTAATATTATTTATTCTGTGATCATACTTTGCTTGGTAGGTGATAGACCGAAATTTATTTCGCCAAAATATAAAATTATGGAATAGTTGATGTTGATTTTAAGACTTCATAAAAGAACGAGGTTCTATGTTCGGCTGTATGCTTTTTCTTTTATTTTATTTTTTATGTATGTTCACTGATTTCTCCATCAATTGTGGACCGATTTTGAATACCTATTCATTTTTTCTTCGATGATGTAATTCTTACATTTGGCCCTATATAAATGTCATAGAAATCATTTCAACCATGACAAATGTTGTAATTGAGTTTTATTGAAGTCGGTTGTCACAAAATTTTCAATTTTACCACTTGTCTAGTAATAATATTAGTCCTTTAGAAAATGTTGTTCGTATTACTAATTCTAATTACTAATTTACTAATCAAAATTTTAACAATGAACCGAATTAAAGGTAAACTAGCTTTTGCCCGCCTTCCCGGCTAGTAAGCCATAAAATATATTTTTAACTATTATCATTCTATTAATTTTTCAGTGACTCTGAGCTTGACAAGAAACTACCGGACAGTAATATGCAGGGACGATGTACTCCTAATATTCGTCGAATGAATATTAGAGGTGTAACTAGTCTAGAATGCAAAAATCACCTTTTCAGAAATTTTTGTTCCAAATTTAAGCAGTTGGGGAAGAAAACTAACATCCAATAAGGTTACTTATCGGTACCTACAAGAAAAAGAGTTGTAAGCAATGTTTTGCGTCGCTTTTACGTGGTAGAGCCATGCTGCAGTTATATTAGTAGTAGAGTTGTAGCACGAATGGGTCGGCTCGACCGGGGAAGGACCACGCTCTGACAGAATAGTGAGAGTCGAGAACCGGAGACCCTTTTTACTGGAAACGAGGCATTCCACCTAAGTCCTCACGGATGACAACGCATCTGCATTTTGATTCGTAATCGAGGATAGATGTAGATGTCTATGGACCACAGCAACCACTTACCGTCAGGTGGGCTGTGTGCTCGTTTGTCATCCTATTCTATATAAAAAAAGCAGTAGTTGGCGCCGTGAAACATTCGAAGAACGAAGACATCACTGACGTGGAAAAAATTAAAAACATCAAAAATGACATAAAAATTAGTGCCAGTCATGTTTTTAAGAAAAGAAAGAAGACTTTTTGGCTTATTTGCAAAAAAAAAAACGAGGACGAAATAAAAGAATTAGAATTGGCTACTAGAGGTCAAAGAGACAATGATTTGTGGCACACTGAACGGAAAAAAGTCTAACTGCATATAAATTTCGAAAAATCGCAAACTGCGCCCTTACTCATTTCAAAGGAAATACGGCAATCGAATATGGAAACCAACACGAATCGGAGGCCATACGAGAATTTTCCACAACTACCAATCTAAAAGTTGGTGTGTGATGGTTTGCTTAAGATGATTATTATTTAGGGGCAAGTCCCGATGGACTTATCCCAGATGACTCTCTAATTCAAGTCAAATGTCCTATTTCTGCTTCTAATATGCCACCTGTGGAGGCCATAACTGAAAAAAGATCAAATTTTGTTTGATACGAGAAGGACAGATGATTTTTAAAAGAAATCATGATTACTATTATCAGGTCCAGGGAAAATTCCACATCACTGGTAGGCAATTTTGTTTTTTCGTAGTATGGACGCTACATGTTTTGGCGTATGAAAACAATAAGTACGATGACCACTTTAGGACAGAAAAAATGCAGCCAAAACGTAACTCATTTTATTTTCAGTGTTTATTACCAAAACTGATTGACCCTCGAGTACCTGGAAATATGGCAGCTCGAGAAAGAGTGTAATAAAGTAATATGTAGTAATAAAAAAAATCCACATGCTGTTACTTGTTTATTTATTCACCTACCCAATTAAGTGTAATCTCGAAATCTTTTTAAGTTACAGTTCTTATTCAATAAAGACTCTAAAATAAAAAGACTAAATACCTATTGAAGTTATTCACAGATATTATTTATCATAAGAAGTATTATTTGTGTAGGTTTTCGGTATTACTTTCTTCTCCCTAGGTTATAATAATATCTTTTTTAATTATAATTTTTTTACGTTAGGACACACCTCCACACTAGGACTTTCTCCTGTATCGTGGAGGCAGTTTTTACATACATAAATTGCACTAGGACAAACATCAAGACCCGGAACAATTACTTGTAGGTCATGCAAATACTTATGCCGTGCGGGATTTGAACCCGCGGCCCTCAGCGCTATAACTCATTGCTGAGCTACTGCGCCACGTAGCCGTCAAATCTATACATATATGTATATCGATAAAATCTCCAACATCTAATAACAACAAACCACAACTACAGTAGTATGCGTATGCCCCTGCCTCCCGACCCGTATCGTGCGATAGAGAGAGTTGCAAGTCTTGTAAGCAATTGCCTACATTTATTTAAATATTGTTTCGGGCGATAACATTTTACCCCCGTAAACCTTCACGAAATGAGATAATTTTGGTACCATTAGATTCAGTACATCTTAATCTAGGTCTGTACGTTTATTTTATAGTAAATCAGTTTAGTTTAATTAAAAAAAAATAAAATGCTCGAGGAAGTTTTTGAGTCAAAAATATAGATATTTAGATGATAATAACTTAAATAGTACGTAATATTTCTTCAAAATTAAAACGTACGGACCTAGTTTTTTGTTATATCTACAACATTTCCAAAAATTATGAAAATTAGACTATGTTTACTGGTGGGAAAACGTTATCGCTTTTTGTATGAAAATTTACAGCTTCACAATCCTCTTAAGCTTGGAAATAGAAATGTCAAGTGTTCATCTTTGGTCTCTTTATACTATGCAAAATATGAGAGTAAGTACACTGGTATGTTCTGATTTATTAGAAAAATGACATCCTATTATAGTAGTATTATGTGTGACGTTACTTTACAAGATATTATGTCTTTAATTTATAGTGATTTCGTTCACAATTTTAGCTACAATCGACATCGATATAATCGTTTTCGTTTTGTTATTTATTTTTATTACTTTATATGCCTAAAAATATTTAAAACAATAGGACTAGACTTATAATTAATCGAACGGTCAAGTAAATTGATTTATAAATGTTGTGATGATTTTTGTATTACATTTCAAATATTCGTTTCGCAAACTTTAAAAACTAATAATTAGGGAGGTATCAATACTACGTCTTGACACATTACACTTACACAAACCGTACATCATATTGTGTACAGCGTACTTTTCATATGCTTCTTCTCACTCTAGTAATCATAGAATACTATAATACATACATAATAGAACGGGGGAGTGGGCGAAGCCCGCGTAGCCACTAAAATGTCACTAACACGTCGATTCACACGTATAAATGTCAACACGAGATGTGTTTTGACGTTACAATCGTTTCCAAATTTCGCATGCAAATTATTTAAAAAATGCACCCTATTAAATACAAATAAACATGTATTAAAATTTAAACGATTTTTTTAATGATGATCTTGAACATTAATCAAAAGTCTAAAATGTGTAAATTTATTCAGTCTATCAACACAGCGAATCGGTAACCACCAAGTAACAAAATAAAGTTGACAGCCATTCTATTGTGTATTATGGTATTCTATGCTAGTAATTATTATTCTTTTAATGGCGAGTCTATTGTATATCCTCTGTCTATGTTCTCCTGTTCTCTAACCTCCATGTTTCTGCCTGACACTTAAAGCACAGATTAACTAATAGTAACCACAGATTAACTCACTAATACAATGTTTATTTACCATTGCCATGGCATCTCCCATGTTTGTGAACACTTTCTATGTTTCTATATTTTCTTATTTCTTATAAATTAACTGTGTAGTGGCGGTGACCGGTGTAAGAATATCAACTATTATACGAGGGTGACACTGAAAGTTCTTAGAAAATCAAAAACTGAACAAACTAGCAAGTTATTAGTTTTATTAAGTCTTTTCAAAATAGTCTCCGTTTACATCAAATACATCGCTGCATCCGATGGAACCACTGAGAGAAGCTCTTTGCCCACTCGTCCTTAGGGGTCTCTTCGACGGCATTTTGAAAACGCAGCCACTGCTTCCTCGGCGTCCATAAAACGTTTTCCTCGAAGGTTTTCTTTCATTTTCGGAAATAAATAAAAATCGTAAGGTGTGAGGCGGGGCTATAGGGCGGGTGACCCAGTAATTCCACGTCTGACGTCGCCAAGTAGTCGATTGCTTGCTTGACGGTGTGCGACTAGGCATTGTCGTGGTGAAGGAGGATCCTACTGCGAGGTCGTTTCTCCCGAACTTTTTCCAAGACAAGTGGCAAACAATTGTTTAGCAGTAACTGTTTGCCGATCCTCTAAAACAATTGTTGCGTAACGACCTGTCCTTCCGAAGAACGAGACCACCATCTTTTTTCCCATGCTTCGACCTGATTTTGTGCACTTGACTCATACCCGATGCCTAAGCTTGTCTGAATCTGCTGATAAGTCACTCTTTTGTCATTCTCTATCATATGCCGCACAACACTGAAGTTATTTTCAGTCGTTGCCGTAGAACGCCGTCCCTCACGCAGATCATCGGTGAGATTAGTGCCACCACGTTTAAATTAATTAAACCAGTTGTAAACAGTGGCACGAGATGGGGCTTCATTGTGAAAGGCCAAACGAAGTCTATCATAATTTTCTTGATGACTTAAATGACACCGAAAGTCATAAACAATTATTGTACGAAAATTTTCTCGCGTTAAATTCATGCTGACGTGACACATTTTATAATTGACTTTTTAAAAGTAGTAGCTAACCCTCTAGCGTAGCGTGGCAATTATGGCAAAATTCCTTCATGATTAAAAGCATAAAGAAAGTGCCCCTAGTGCCCGGCAGCTCCGCTATTCTTGGCTTCTGTAGCGACCATGTTAAATACGGAGTACGGGCTGCTAAGAATTGCCGGTGGAGGTTCCATTGCCATTCTAAATGACTCGACCTGGCAACATTCAACGCATACACCCTGTGGACCGACGAGAAGATCCTGAAGCTGGAAGAAGAGGTACACAAGTTGGGATATTATAGGATTATCTGACGTCTGAAGAGAGTTCCAGATTCGAAAATTACCGTGTCCTCCGACCATGACCATGAGAGCGACTATCTATCGGACAAGCTGGCGTTGGATTTATCGTCCACAAGTCTCTCGTTAACAACGTTGTCTAGATTAGGGGTGTGTCGACGAGGGTTGCATTGCATACCTTGTATTCATGACACCAAATGGTATTCGTTGAAGGTCATACAGGTTTATGTACCAACCTGAGTACACCCCGATAAGGAGGTAAAGGAGATGTATGAGAGTAACTAGAGCCATGCATTCCTAGAAAACCCGATATACGGTGTTGAAGGGAGACTTCTACACAAAACTAAGCACTAGAACAGTGAGCTGACGGTAAAGAGATTTGGTGTAGGGTAACAGAACCCAAGGGATCAATAGTCGGAGACAAACTTAATGGAGAAGGAGGGACTCTTCATTATATGAACTCTTTCTTCTAGAAGGGGTCCCACAGAAAGTGGACATGGTCTAGTCTCGACGGGTTGAACAAAAATGATATTTACTTCATAATGATGAACAGACGGCAACTGTTCAGTGAAGTCTCAGTGATCGCGAGGGTGAAAACTGGCAACGATCACCTATCACATTCTTACCCCGGCAATACATGTTGGCCAAGCCTCAGCCAATGCGAGCGTAGGCAAATAGATACAAGGCGAGTGTTACAGTCTACACGTTGGCCGAGATCGAAAGATACCAATGCTAAGGCCAATGTACACGAGTTTTTGAGGAGCTATCTACATGTTGGCCGAAATTAGTAGTCATTGAGAATTAGTATGATATGGACGACGTAAAAGTTATTGCACCTTCTGCTATTTATTTAATAAGTGCATATAATTATTATGTCAGTGTACTCCGCAGTAAAGTTAAAAAACTCAAAGATTTATTTCTATACTTTTATTACGTTAGTAAAGCGAACTAAATTAAATCAATGTATCACCGTGACGGACGCCAAGTTTTAACTGACATAGGCGACTAACATGTGGACGAGACTTGCCGTCTTGCCGAGTGTAGGCGAGCGCCTTTGATTTGTGCAGAAAAACCGACACTGTTCCGAAGTGGTCGAGTCGTAGCGAGCGATCCCGAGTGGCGGCAAGGCATGCCTAACGAACCGTATACGTGTTGGCGTTCCCCTGCAGTCGGCCAGCTAGGCGAACGTCGACGAGCAATGGCGAGGCTGGACAAATGGGCTGTCTATACGTTGGTGCTCGCCTTCGCTCGCCCAATACGTATAGCAGGCTTTACAATAGTGGATGGCCTTGCCCCTAACTAAGTTAACAGTCTATTGTCATTCACATTTGAGCTATAAGAATTCAAAGTTTATAACACGCGATTGTAAACATTAGTGAATTGTATGGATAAATGTTTAAACTTCATGCAGGTACTTTTTGACGTTGAGAGTACAATAAACCTGTCGTCGCATGAGAAAAGCAACAGTTCAGAATGCGGTAATGACTCTGTAAGTAACATGATTGTATTTTGAGCGTATGTGTGAGAGAATAAGGGAGAGGATGCGTGAGTGAGAGAAATCATATATCTTTTTTATGTATCGAATAATATGCATGTCTTAAGCGCTCATGTTATACGTCAATTTTTTTAAAGTATTATTAATACACACAAGTTTTCACAAATAACCTTATTACGATTACTTCTAATTTTATGTCAAACGTCAATAAAAAAAAGTTTGGAAAATCCAAGTGCACGACTCATAATGCTCATATGATCGTGAAAAAATGTAGAAAAAATTCTCAATCAACAGTAGAAAATATTTAATTAAATTTTACTGTTATTATTATTGAGATTCAATTTTTTTATTATTATTGTTAATTGAAAAAAAAAAAACATAAACACTCACGCCTGTCACCCAGAGGGGTAGGCAGAGACTACAGACTTCCATTTAGCACGATCCTGACATACCTTTCTAGCCTCTTCCACATCCATATACCTACGCATACATGCTCGTCGGTTAAGGGTACTCTTAATTTGGCCCATTTTTAGTATATCGCCAATTTGGTCGACAAACTTCCGCCTAGGACGTCCCTTTCCGACTCTTCCATTCACTTCTGCAACATATATTTGCTTTGTCAGTCTTTCCGCATTCATTCTTTCTACATGACCAAACCACCGAAGCACTCCTTTCTTAATCCTGGTCACCGCATCATCTTGTAAACCACACTCTTCTTTTATCACACAGTTTCTCACCCTGTCACTCAGATTCAGCCCTAACATACTCCTTAGCGACCGCATTTCTACTGCATTTATTCTACTCTCGTGCTTCTTATGCCACACCCAACTTTCACTACCATACGTTAAAGTAGGGACTAATACAGCACTGTGAATTGCCATACGTGCCTTTTTTGACACATTCTGACTTTTCACAATAGAGTGTAGAGCCCCATTTACTTTATTTCCTGCATTCACTCGTCGTTCAATGTCCTTAACATATCTCCCATCCCTGCTGAATACACATCCCAAATATACGAACTCATCCACTTGCTCAATTAACTCTCCTTCTATTCTTATTTCACATACCGTTTTGCTTTCATCTCTTTCAAAAACCATCACTTTCGTCTTACTTGCGTTCACTTTCATTCCCCTTTCTTTTAATGACCTGTTCATTAATGTAACCATCATTTGCAACTCGGCCGCCGACGACGCAAGTATGACTTGATCATCGGCGTACAAAAGACATTTGATGGTTAACTCACCCATTCTTAACCCGCATTCTTCAACTTTCAAATTTTCCAAACAGCTGTCCATAAATAGGTTGAACAGCCACGGGAAGCTACACAGAGCTCTGTCTGACACCTATATGGATGCCAAACCAGTCCGAGTAGACCCCGTTGATTCTAACACAAGCAGTCGAGTCCCTATACAGAGACTTTAATGCCTGTATCAAACCAGCGCTCAACCTAAATGCGTTCAGCGTTTGCCATAACACATCCCTGTCCACTCTGTCATAATTGAAAAAACTTAACAGAATTATCTTAAAACGACCAGGAATTCCTAAGACTCAGTCATTATCGTAAAAACTAGTCTTTTTTTACCTGACTCGTTAATATTTTTTTTCTCAACAACTATTTCGTTTTTAAAAAAATTTCATGTAGTCATAACCAGTATTTTAATTTAGCATTAACCAGAGTACACCTTCAGGTCACTCCCATAAAGTCCAAGACGTATTAAGTATATTTATACTACACCATAAGTAAACCATTAAAACCACTTTTTAATGTAAAAATAGCAATTAATCGATTTAAAAAAAAATAAGTTCAGCAACCATTTATCTTTCTGACAATGTGATTTTTATAGCATGTATATGTTCGATATGATTTCATGCGGCTAAACGTTGGATTATTGATTTTTAGGCGCTAGTAGAACATGCTTACGCTTTGCGCATAAGGCATGCAGTTATTATCAACTTTCTTAACAGAATTCTAAAGCCGGCTTCTCACTGCGTGTGTTAACACGCGCCGCGCCGCCCGAGTTGATTTGTACGCGCAAGCACGTGCCACTCGGTTTCAATGGCGCGGCGCGGCGCGTGATGATTTTTCACTGTTACTTTTTCGTGACGGCAACTACGGTCACGGTTAATTTAAAATAACACTTTCCACCAAATATAGTCGCCTCTTACGACATCCATGGGATAATATGGATATTCATGTACCGCCATGACACGGTAAAGGATAATTTCTCACAACATTTTATTTATCAACAACGTCTTGCAATCGTCGTTTCTCTAGCGCTCGCTTGACCTTTATACAAATAATTCGATATTTTAACTGTCGATAAGTTTTATTTTTGGATAAGAACATGGTAATGACCAAATTATATTTACCTTTATTAAAAAAAAATCTTATTGGCCTAACCTACTATACTCTTTGGCTTGACTTTTTTGTCTTTGGTCTGACTCAATAAACTCTGGTCCAGTACACTGTCGGGACTGGTCGGGACGTGAGTTGTTAAATTGTTCGATTTACTAGGTAAGTCTGTCTATAATTAAAGCAATAGAAAAGTACATCACACAATCTGTTTCTAATATTATTGTCAACGATTTAATAAAATATTTGAAATTAATAAATCTAAATTAAAATTATCTATAAATTATAATTATGGTATCATTCAAATAGCAATTAAGGGTAGTTTTAAAACATTATAAATGGACAGTCGTTCTTAATGTTGTTTGTATGATAATATTATTCCAGTCGTACAATTATATTGTTTATATTGTGTTTAGGAAGACGATACAAGGTTCTCGCATCCCAAGAAGGCCCCAATACGCAGAAAGTCAGGTAATATTTCATGTCTTAATTTACGGTATATTTGGTTATACATCTAATGAATACCCTTCCCAATGATATTAAGAGTACAATTTAATATTATTAGAAATTCGAGATTTCTAGCTACAATTATGTATATTTTTTCCAATAAAGGTTTTAATTTTACTTCGATAATTTACAAATTTGTCATAACAACTGGTTTGTTAAATATAGTACGCCTTATTGTAAAATTGTAATATAATTCTGCCAGCTCAGTTGCCGATTATTAATTGTTAATGAAATATGTAAAATACTATTTATTTTATAATTAAACTTTAATTCACAAATATTTAGCAGTGCTACTTTTACAACTAAGTAGCTTTATTAAGGCGACATCGCAAAATATGCACCTCCTTTCATCGAATTGTATAGGACTATGACACCACTAACGAAAATGGAATTTTGATATTGGTAAATTCATGATTTAATCTTGAATTTGATTGTTCAAAACACGATTGTATAATTTTGACACCTCTAAAAAATCACTATAGTTGAAATTATAACGATATTAATTATTCTATATATTTGGGAATCACTCAAACATATTCATAACATCAATATTCATAATTTACTTGTTCATTATTTTGACTATTTAAATCAATAATTTTTAAAAAATATTTTAAGTTTCTGACAATTTCTAAGCGGTTTTATTCATCGCGGGCGCGTTTAGACCTTATGACGGCGTTTTTACGAGTTTTTATAGAAATTATGTATTCACTCGGATCAGTACGACGATAGCCTTGAGCCACATTTTCGATGTGACGTCTTAAACTGTATTTACCATTAAAACTTCCCATAGCTAGCCTTAAGTATTTGCTATGGTTGCCACTGGACGGGCGGGTTAGCAACCGCAGCTTTTTATTTTTAAGTTGTTATTGGGAGAGCTGTGGTAGCTCAGGGGCTTAGCTCTCGTTGTGAATTTCACAGTACGCGTGCAAACCGGGTTCGATCATCGCCCGGCACCAATGAAATTATTGGAATTTTAAGTGCTGATTTACTACGTGCTCCAGGGGTGAAGTGAAACGTCGCGAGGAAACCTGCATGTCCGAGAAGTAAAACTATTTCGAAGACATGTAAAGTCCGCCAACACGCATTGGGGCAGCGCGGCGAACATTTCCTTGAACTGAAAACGTCTCAGAACTAAGGGGAGGCCTGTGCCCAGCTGTGGGACACATGCAGGCTGTAACTTTAACGAAGATACTGCTGCACATCTCCCGCTTTGTTTCCCTTTGTCGCTCCTTACGACACCCACGGGACGGTTTGGGGTAGTGGGTGTTCTTACACCACCACTAAACGGTACTTACTTTACAAATTTTAACAGTGCTTACTTTTACAATTGAGTAGCGTTATTAAACAGCGTTTACTTGCCAGGATAAGGCTTCTAACAAATAAAATAATGTTTGTGTCATTGAAGTATGTTGTACTTACGTACTAGAACAGCTATCTCAAACAAAAAATGTGCGCTACTCTGTGTTCGCACGGTTGGTTTTTTTTTAAATCATAGAATAAACATAGGTAGAATGATCCGTAGGTAATAGTAGGTTGTATTGTTAAACAGGTAAATTATATCAAGAACAATATTTAAATTTTGTCATTTATTTTGTATATTATATTTGCTCATTTTATATAATATTACGTAATATTATATCACAATTACATTTTAATGATATTTTTATCTGAATATTAATTTTATATAAATGTATGTTTAACAAAACGTATTAACATAACATTTAAATTAAAAATATATTTATTTAAATTAGAATAAGAGTCGTTCATAAATGGTGGTCACGCGAGAGTTAATAATGGATTTATTTATTCCACTTTGACTTTGATGTGGAAACCTAAAAACAAAATGAAATGATAATAAGCAGATTTTAACCTGAAAAATTTAGCCTAATTATAATAACATATAGATATTTGTACAAAAAATGTATAATAATATATTCGTCCTATACTTAAGTACCAACAGAAATGTCGCATCTGAACATATTAATTTCATAATCTATATTCTTTTAATTATAATCTATAATATTTTTTATTGATTAAGTATCTTATTAACCGATGAAAAGTAATTCCTTGGTTTTTACTGACATTTCTAGAATTATTTGTGCAATATCTAAGTACACACGACGGCATATTTTTA